GTAACCTCTTATGCTCCTGTCGTAGCTCCTTTAGCTCCTTAAGGGCATCATTTCACTCTCTAACAACTTTTTAGGCCTTATTGTATTCCTTGAAAATCCTATGGACTTGGATTTCTAATTTTTCAATTTTATTTTACCACTGGTCTTTTTTTTCCTGCAGCTTCAAAATTTCTTGCTTCAATTTCTCCTTTTCCATTTCATGCTCTAACTCTGAAAGCTTATTGTTTTACTCTTAGCCCACTAGCAAGTGATGATCTTAAGGTATAAATGTGATCTTTTGAACCCGCTTATTTCTTTAAATCAGATACCCTTGAGTGACTCTATTAGTGAGTGGCCCTAAGCTTATTTTCTTAAGCTTCTTCCAGGTCTTAATCATGCTATCAATCTTCTAGAAAGTTCTGGGCTCCTCATATGAATAGTCAAACTAGCTGAGCTTACAGGTCATAGGAGTAAACTGTTTAGCTCTATACTGTCTCCTTATCATAAATGGTGCAAACCCGTTGACCCCTATAGGCTTAAAAGTGAGACCCTGTCTCATCTTCACGTTGATACAACATAGGTTCCTTATCCATCTATAGAGCTAACAATTTTACTTGACCAATTGTAAGCCCTTACAGCAGACACCTCCACTTTTTTGAGTCTTTGCTTCTAGCCAAATGTTTTGATAGAACTCCCTAATTGGACTTCGAATGTAGAAATAAAGTTTGGTAAAAGCACTTTTCTTGCATTCAAAATGACTTTTCATCTATACATACAATAAAAGGGTATGTAGCTCATAAAACGTGCCTTGTCATTCTGCTTACAAAAATTCAGAGATCTGATGGTTTCTGCCAAGATAGCCAGTGAAAGATTACACTCCCTTTTAATCTGCTCAAATAAATCTACCATTTTTATCTCAATATGGCTAAAATCTTGAAAAAAATGACCAACCTATATCTAGCTAGAGCAAATGCATTCATTCTCTGATCATCATCTGGATGCTTGGTAATGAATTCTTAGAGAACCTTTCATGGAATACTCTTGGAGAACCAACAAAATGTCATTGATGGCTTTCTAATCAAGTTTCTTAATTGTGGGTTGTAGGCCCATAAATATATATTACAACCCTAAATCTGAAAGATAATTTAAAAATCGCTTTTCTAGTTTGACCACAATTTATAATGACCTTTAAGAACTACTTTTACTTGGAACTTTGCTTATACTAAATGTCGCAATCTTAAAGGCTTCATTCTATATGAAATCCAGAAATGTGGAATGACTCAACATATATCGTATTATACATAAAAGTGTGCGGTTACCTCTCCAAGCATAGCATATTAGGCGTCAACACCAAAATCCTACAAAAAACTTAATAGAATAGTCTAGGATTTGCCTTGTTTCGTTATACCAATCATAATTTTCATCACCTATATCCGATCTCATTACCTTAAATTTAAATTTTCAAAAATTTGGGCAACGGATTTAAAAAAAATTAAAGTTTTCATAAAGTCAGACTTTTCATTCTACATGGCTAAAACTTGAATGATCTTCATAAGGATGATAGAATGCTTAAATCCACTAGAAGAAATAAGTGGTAATAATTCAAAAGTGTTTGTATACGTCAGTTCTTAAAAATCTTTGTATATGCCTATCATGATCGTATATGCTAACAAAATGTTTTATTTCATTTTTCAATTTAGAAAATTTTTAAAAATTGTCATCTTATACCTAATTTATAACAAAAATAGTACACATTTCTAAATTACTTAGATTTCAAGTTCAGAGGCATTTGTGGAACCAAATTAGAAAGTAGGCTTCATAAAATTTTTCTTTTTAAATGACCTATAATGGGACCTTTGTCAATCATGTTTTGTTTGGTAATAGTGTTGACCTGTATCATCTAGAAGGTAGAATGAAATTATTGACTTATAATATCCTTTCCTTTTAGATGGTTATAACATTTATGATATTTTAATTATGCTTTTTTCTATATTTTATGAGTGGATTTCACACTATCACCCTCAAAAGGAAGCAATTCAAATATCTGTCACAATAAGAATTGGTCCCTTTATTTCAATGTTGGTTTTTTTCAAAATGTGCTCATGAAAACCTTTTACCTTATCCAATGTAGTAGTGATGAATGATCTAGGTGGTTTGATGTTTTAACCTTATGAAACCTTTCAAATTGAGTTATAATGGCATCTTTGATTATCAGTGTGTGGAATACTCTATCTAATGCATTCACTAATGGTATACATATATATATCCTCAAACAATTCTAATTAAAGTGTTTTTAGAAAGCACACTGTGTTTTTATCCTCAATCGAGCTCAATAAACAATGGCTCTTCAGTTGTGTGGGTATGGAAGGTGATCTACTTTTAGAGCAACATTTAAGATTCATTATGCCCAAAACAATGGAGAATGACCCATGCCATTTGTTGAAATTAATAATGTTAAATGATAGTTGTAGAGGCAAAGTCAAGATTGAAGGCTTTATAGAATAACTAAAAGTGTATCATGCATATAAAATAAAATCATGCCATGAAGGTTATTCCATTACTTCCATAATTTAAAATTTTCCCAAAGCATACTATAAAAAATAATAAAGAATTGGTCAGATATAATCGTGGAATGACTTGCTACCAACATGGTAGCTAAATCACATTATATTCAAACCAAGATCCTTTCATTCTTAAGCATCTTTTCAAAATAATAACCAATTTCGACAGGGAAAGTGTTACCATTTCTACAAACCTTGGTAAATATTGTAACTATCATGAGGAATTGCCTTATTATTAGTTCGCAACAAATTACTAGAAAAATCCCAAAAAATCTTCATGATTACTTTCACGACAGGTAGGCTCTATTCAATCTGATTAGTGATTTGTGTAATTTAAGAATATTCAAAAAATTGTCATACCAAAATTTAACATGATTGAAATATGCTATATCCATATGCATATTTAGAAAATTAAGTTTGATAAAATCAATTAATTTGATTTAAAGTGAATATTCAAATAATAAGACAGTTTTATTAATTAATTGGATTTTTACAGAATTAAATGAATTATTAACAAATTGGTAGATTCAAATTCACAAAATTGCGCTAACCAAAATACTCAAATAATTCATTTATCATTCATTTAATTAGGCCTGACATTTTACAAAATGGAGTCATTAATTTTAGACCAAAATATTTGAAAAAGTTTAGTCAAAATGGCTTTAAGTAAAATAGCCAAAATCAATTAAATTATCCCTAAATTTTAATTTAAATAAAATTAGTCTAAAACAAAATGACAAAATTTAATTCCAACAAAATGGCTTAAACTTAAATTACCTAAATGGAATTAAAATTAAAATTAGCCTTAATTTAACTCAATATGGTCCAAATCAAATAAATTTATTGACGCAATTTAAAAAGAAAATAGCCAAAATTAATTTAAATTAGTGGCCCAAATTTTAATAATTAAATTTGGACTAAATAAAACAGTTCAACAAAAAAAAACCTTTAATTTTCATCCAAAATGACCTAATACCTAATGGCTTAATAAAAAAATTATCTAAAAAGGGAAAATTGGGAAAAAGGCCCAAAATGCAAATAAACCAAAATTTGGCCCAATCAGCATTGAAAACCTAGCAAATTTGGCACCAAACCATAAGCTGAAAATTCAAAATTTTCCTTTTTTTCAAAATTTTTGTTAGAAAATTTTGCATTAGACATGTGTTACATGTGCCAGTCAAGGTCACGTGGCATATGTGTTGGTCAACAGATGGTTACACGCGCCACATGCTTGATAGATGAATAAGCGAGTGTGTTATATGCATCCGCGGTAATAATATAGTGCACCCATACTACACACATTGTCGAGGGTGTGCCCGAGGCTCCATCTTCACCGGTTATCGTGTTTCAAGTTTTCTGACTTAACTCGAATTGGTTCATCCAAAACTCGCTATTTTTGCATCATTTTGGACAAAAAAAAAATGGATTTCAACCTCTTTCAAACTCTATAATAATAAAACTATAATTTGAAGCCCAAAAATTCCAAAAATTTTATGAATTTCAAAAAATCCAAAACTTTAAAAACTCATTTTGAGCTTTAATGGCAACACCACACCAAATAAAAGTGTCTAATGACTTTCACAATAAATTTGGTTTTGATGTCAATTGTTGGATTTGCGCAAAATCACAATGAGCTACTAATACAATTTATAACTATAATAAATTAACTTGGATACGTGCAAAAGCTTAATCTCATTAAATCAAAGTCCATAAAATTGATGCCACCATCTTATACTTTTCGATATCACCTTTTAGATTGCGATCAATGACCTATATAATAAAAAGAAAAAAGAATTACTCTTAACCTTTCAAATTAAAGTTATGAAACCTAATGATTTGGCTTCATATATATAAAGTGACAGTGGGGATCTTTTTTAACATGTTAGTAAAAATTGATCAATCATATTATAAGTTTAAATACATAATTAAATTAAGATCACACTTAACTAAAATTATACTATATGTTCAAGTATGTTATTATATAATACCATTGTAATTACTAATAATTTAACATTAATTGATTGATTAGTTCATAAAATGAGATAATTGCAACAACTTATTAATATCAATAAACTTACTAATATATATATAAGTATATATTTTATTATTAATTTAATTTTATACTTATGTATATTTATTATATTAATAAATTAATTATTTGATATTTTAATTTAATAAATTAATATTTTAAATTAAATAGGGATGCGCATGTGATAGCATCTAGGAGATATTTTTTATTTTTTATAATTTCTTTTGTTTTAAATTTTTAAATTTTTATTATATATATTTTATGAGAATAAAAAATTAATTTAGATATCCGGTGTCACCTCTATTATTTTTATTTTTATATTTTTAATTAAATAAATTTTTTAAAAATTGTTGAATTAAAAATGATACAAAAAAAAATTGACTAGCATCCCACGGCAACGAGTACCTAGTAAATTCTCATAAAATCCATCTTTTAAGTATTAATCGATGGAAAAAAAAAAAAAAGAAGTGTAGAACGGGAAATGCATCATCAATCGATTGACGATTGACACAACACAAGATATACACAAGAAAAAAAAGACACAACGCAAGCTAGAACGAAACGTTGCTTTTGATCCGTCTTCCCTCTTTGCATGTTCAGATTTCTAAATTCCCTTTACGCTTAAGCAGATCTGAATCTTCTTTTACTCCAAAAAACCGTTACAACTTCGCGGGAACATAACAAGTCGCTACCTGATCATCAATCACAGCCGTCAATCTTAAAGGGCTAGTTCAGAGAAAAATCGAAGATGGTGCTGGTGTCAGCCGTACGGGATTATGTTAATCGGATGTTTCAAGACATTTCCGGCATGAAAGTCCTCATTCTTGATTCTCAAACGGTAATCTAATCTTTCTTCTTTTTAATCCCAATTTTCCTTAAATCTGAATAAATTATAACTTATTACTTTAATTTGTTGTTTTCATTTTTATCATTAATTCCAGATGTAAGGTAACTTTAATTGGAAATAGACTAGTGCGGGAAATTGTTACGATCTGAGGGTAGAAATCAGGAAATTTGAGATAATTAGGAACTCAAGTGATTTTTTTCAATTTAGTGCAAACAGATTTGGCCTTTAATGGGCAAAGAGGCGTCGAATTTGTTGCTAGTTAATTAGGGTGAATTTATTCTTATCCTTTTTTAGTTTGCTTTTGTCTTTAATGGATCTTTTCTTATCCTGGAGTCCGCAAGTGATGGGCTGGTGTGGCGTAGTTTAGCTTTTTGATGAGCAAATGACTATTAGTTCTTGGTGGAAGAAGCTTAACACAGTTGTTTGAATGTTCCTTGCGTGATTTTTGTTGATTTTGCTGGTCTAAATTTGATAATTTGAGCTGGAAATTTGATAATTTTGTGTAGAATGAAGTAATTGGAGAGGGAGCTTCTCTCCATCCTATATAGCAGCCTTTTAGGATTCATATAAATTTGGAAGCAAGCATGGTTGTTACGATGATAAACGTGTTTTATAAATTATGATGCTTGTCAGTGTTTTTTATCTCTCCATTTTACAACCGCTAATGGTTTTGGATTATATCAAATTGAAGGTAGTGAACTGCTTAAGAAGAAAATCTGACTTTCGATATTGTTTGAAGTCCTGGTTGTAGTTAACATTAGTCTAAGAACTAGGAGGGCAACGGAGGGAGAGGAGAAGAGATGAAGGGGGATTCTACAGTTCCAATTATTTATATTTCTAAAAGAAAAACAAGAAAAGAGAAAGGAAAGGAAAGCGTCAAAGGAGGGTATCACTCCCTCTTCCTTCCCTTTTCCTCAATTAAAAAAAAAAGGCCTAAATGTATCTCTTCGAAGATTATGACCACAAGGAACCAGCCAAGCAAGAATATTTATGTTGAGGAGCTTGTTAGAGAAATGACCTCTTTATCTCAATAGGTATCTGGATATGTGCTTGGTCTTTAGGAATTTTTCTAGTCCTAACTGGACTTTTCAATTTAATTCCCTGAGGCCATCTATAATTCCTATTCAGTTGCAGACCAAACACTGTGGTGTAATGTTCTTATATCGGATGAAATAATAGTTGTGTTTGCATCACTTACTTTTGTTATGAGAATTGAAGATTTGATTTTGCATTTTTGGTGGTAGTATATGGGGTTTCTCCATGGATCAAAATAACACTTAATACTAATAAATGAGTTTTTAAAAAAGAAAAGAAAAATGTCATTTTAATTATGGGTAATTTATTCTGTTTTCTGAGTCACAGGTTAGCATTGTGAGTGTTGTTTATTCTCAGTCCGAGCTACTTCAGAAAGAAGTATTTTTGGTAGAATTGATAGACTCCATTTCCAAGTCAAAAGAATCTATGTCACATCTCAAGGCAGTTTATTTCCTTCGGCCTACATCAGAAAATATTCAATATATGCGGTCACAGCTATCCAATCCTAGGTTTGGAGAGTACCATTTGTGTAAGTTATTTGTATCTTTCGAAAATTTGATGTGGCTATAGTTTGATTTTACTGTGAAAATATGCCAAGTGTTTTATTGCCCAGCCTTAGATGTTTTCCTTGTAGTCCTTTTTCATCTCATATTGGTTTTTTGCAGTTTTCTCAAACATGTTGAAGGATACCCAGATTCACCTTTTAGCTGATTCAGATGAGCAGGAAGTTGTCCAGCAAGTCCAGGTAACTGAAAATGCTAGTGTTGTTTTTCTTGACAGGAAGTTATGTGTGGTTGGCAATTCTTTGTCTGGCTTTTTATTTTAATGGTAAAATTGGTCAAAACTACTGAGTCTAGAGTCTATCTGTGGTTGGGTAAACTATAATGTAACAAATCTGCTAGAAGATGATAGAGCCATTTCTGGTGCATCAGTTAGATCTCCGGTTGCTAAGGCACATTGCTTAATGGAAAAATCTTTTAAGGACCATGTTTAACCACCCCATTAAGGACTCTGCTTTTCTAAGAGCAGCAATGTGTGACAATGCTAACTCTGTAACATCATGAGGAGGTCCTTCTTGGAGTGATTTGATCTAACTATCAATGGGGAATATTTTCTTTATGTCAATAAATTTATCCATTACCAAAATTGAAAGGGTTGATCTAATCGTTGTTGTTCTGCTGGCTTGAATATGTTATATGTTTGTAGTCCAATTTGCCTCCCTATATCAGACAATGTGAATTTTCCTTAATTGCATAGTCTTGTTCATACGTTTCTGTTGTGTATAATTACATTTTTAGATATTTCAGAGATGCCCTATACTTTTACACCTGAATTTGAAAGTTTGCCTTTGGACCCTTATATAGTTGTCACCTTGATCTTGCAGGAGTTTTATGCAGACTTCATTGCAGTTGATCCTTGCCACTTCACTTTAAACATGCCCTCAAATCACCATTATATGCTTCCAGCAGTTGTGGATCCTACTAGTTTGCAGCACTTCTGTGACCGAGCTGTTGATAGTATTGGTGCAGTTTTCTTGGCATTAAAACGAAGACCAATTATTAGATATTCAAGGACCTCTGATATTGCAAAAAGGATTGCACATGAAACAGCGGTAAGTAAAATTGCTCTACTCTAAGTATTACAAACATTTATACCACCAATTATCTGGAATTTTAGTAATAAAAACTGTTTTAGGTTTTGCTTAATTAATTGTGCCATGACTCCTTCAATATGTGTGTATTAACATATTTTAAAATAGTTTTGTCATGGATAAGAAGCTTTAAGTTTGTTCCAGAAATTTTGGATTCATGTAAAGGAACTGATTTTCTTCTTATTTGTTCCTTTTTGTCTGTGTTCTGGGGATATGACAGAAACTAATGTACCAGCAAGAAAGTGGTCTTTTTGACTTCAGACGGACGGAAATGTCTCCATTGTTGCTGATAGTTGACAGAAGGGATGATCCTGTGACTCCATTGCTGAATCAATGGACCTATCAGGTACATTTAATTCTGATTCTTATGTCACCAGTTCTTAAAGGTGATGTATGCCTCTTCGTACTTTCATATGGGTAGGAATGTCACATTTTCTGAATTGCTATTTTGTAGGCAATGGTTCACGAATTGATAGATGTTCAAGATAACAAAGTGGATTTGAGAAGCATTGGCAAATTTCCCAAAGATCAACAGGTTAATTGCATCTTCACCTCTGCTAGACATACTTGTTTTAATATTTTGCAGTGGTTTATCTTTGTAATCTCATGCTTACAGGAAGTAGTGCTCTCATCAGAACAAGATGCTTTCTTCAAAGCTAACATGTATGAAAACTTTGGAGATATCGGAATAAATATCAAGCAAATGGTGGATAATTTTCAGCAAGTTGCTGAAAGCAACCAAAATATTCAGACAATAGGTTCGTATGGGACAAAATTGAGCATTTCAGATTTATTAGTAATTCTTTTTGGCAATTATTACTTATAGCTGAGTTAGTCCATTAAATTAGTATGCTTTGAATTTCTGCAGAAGACATGGCCAAATTTGTAGACAATTATCCTGAGTACAGGAAAATGCATGGAAATGTTTCAAAGCATGTGACATTGGTAACAGAAATGAGCAAGATAGTTGAAGAAAGAAAGCTTATGTTGGTTTCAGAAACTGAGCAGGAGCTGGCTTGCAATGGGGGCCAAGTTTCTGCTTTTGAGGTAGTGTACATGTGTTTGTTTTATCTAATGGTTCAATTTTTTAGCTTCATATCTATTTATGAGTTTAAATATATCAATCAATTCTACTTTACAATTTGTTTACTCCATTAAGATACAGAAGATATTTGCAAATCTAATGCTATTACAAGTGGGTGATTTGGCGGTAGAAGCATCAAGAGCAAAGACTACCTGAGGATGAATCTGAAATACAGGAAGTGGTGTTAGACCAAGGGATTGGATCTAGGAGCTTCATAGGAATGTTAAAACTGAAAAGCTTCTTATAAGGGTTGAGATTGATTGATACAAGCTACTGTTGAAATGAATAGATGATGAGATGCATAGGATATATCTGAAAGTGAAACTGTTGTCGAGGGGTAACTGTTGGTTCTATAGCTATGATTAAATGAGCTTATTTGTCTCTTATAGTGCCTTGTTTTAACAAAGGAGGATTCTTGCACTTTGGAGAAGACTGAGCAACATGCCTGTAACAAAAGAGATTACGGAAGAATATCTAATCAGCATTTTTTGTCCCTTACTCATATTAGATAATATAATCTTGGAAATTAAAATTCAGAATGAAGAAATAATATTTTAGTTGTAGTCAAAAACCTATATGCTATTTATTTATGTGCATGATTAAGACTTCAGATTCGCAAAACTTGTAAGGATGTAGGAAGCCGGTTACAAGCTCCTCTTTAACGGGTTTACCATTCTGTTTTCCTGTTTATTTTCAATTTCCGATGCTGCACAAGCAGCTACATTGTTGTGACATATTTGGAAATAGTTGCCAGTAGATGAAGGAATGAAATAAAAGAACATTAATTTTCCAAGCATAGGTCTATAGGAACTAGAATGAGCAAAGATGGAAGAAATATAGGTTATCAGTACTATATTTACACATTGGTGAATTCTTGTTGAAGATGATCAGTAGTTTGTATAATTAGATGACAAATGTATATCTAACTGATTGTGATAAAAAAAATCACACTATACATAGAAATAGAAACCACGATTTATTTACAATACACATATCATGCAGCAATTATTTTTGTCCTCAATTATTGCTCATCAAGTTTTCTGTTAACCCATCGTTTAGTTAAATCTACCTTATGTTACCACGTGCTCATCAAAATTGGTTCTCAATATTTGTTTTAACCATTTGATTTTGTTGTAGCTTTTCGAGTTTACTGGTATGAGATATAGATGATACCCATTTAAACTATTACATTTTCGAGACGATTATAGAATAAAATTTTAAACTGTGATTGGAATGATACTTGTAAGCCCATCGTGCAGTTGACAATCTCTGGTGACCTTATTTACATGCTGCTTTTCAGGCGGTCACAAATCTTTTAAACAATGAAAGCATATCTGATATTGACCAACTACGCCTAGTAATGCTGTATGCTTTGCGCTATGAGAAGGAGAGCCCTGTCCAATTGATGCAGCTATTCAACAAATTGGCATCTCGGTCTGCCAAGTACAAGCCTGGGGTAACATAACCAACATGCACATATTTCTGCTTGGAATTTATGTGTCATCATCATTTTATCTAGTTTTTTCATGTGCACGTATGCATGTCCATTTCTAAATTTGTTTGTGGGTCATCATCCTCAACCAAAATTTAGCGCTTATCAATCATAACGGGTCATACAACCAGATCTCTCTTTCGACATTCTAGTTATCTAATTAATAATTCTTCTTGTTTGTAAAACTTAACTTTCTACTTGAGCTGCAGCTGTTTTATATGCTAGTTGAGTCTGTCATTGTTAATTCTCTGTGAAGTTGAATCAGTCAGCAATTGCGTTGAGAGCTATTATTCAATTCTCATTGTGGCTAAATGAGAGAAATCTGGTTTTAATTTGTTGGCAATTGTGGAACAGCTTGTCCAGTTTCTCCTAAAGCAAGCAGGGGTTGATAAACGCACTGGTGATCTCTACGGAAATCGTGATCTTCTAAATATTGCTCGTAACATGGCTCGTGGACTAAAGGTTTGTTGGAAAAGGTTTTACTTATTGGCTTGGAAAATTGTTCTTCAATTGCTTATAGATTATTTACAAACTTTTCTTGCTAGGGGGTTGAGAATGTCTACACCCAGCACCAGCCTCTGCTTTTCCACACTATGGAAAGCATAACCAAAGGACGGTTGAGAGATGTTGACTACCCATATGTTGGAAATCATTTTCAGCAGGGCAGGTTTGTAGCTAATAATAAAGTTTTCCAACATTATCAGGAAAGTTTGCAGTTATCTTTATGTTTACTGAATGACCGTATGGCTACAATAAATTTAATATCAGCTATTTAATGCTTTAAAGTGGATGCCCATTGATATTTAAACTTGCATATTTAGTTCATTGCTGGCCTCTTGTGAAGTTGATGCTGGAATATTTGAGTAATATGTGGCTGCTAATTTTGAAGGTTACTTGGAGTTATTCGATGTACTTTCATACTTTCAGCCTCTCCTGAGTTTGTGCAAGTATAATTCAAGAGATAAAGCCACACTATAAAATCGTGAATGCTAATGATATAGCATGAGTAATATAACCTCTCTTTCTAGTTGCAAGATGGTGTAAAACTCCACAAAAAGAAAAGGAAGGTGATGCAAAAAAATTTGAGAGAGCCATTTTGAGCACACAATTCAGTTGGGATCTGTAGGGTGCACGTTAGCAAAAGATGGAACTTTATTACAGTGTATATTCTTGCACACAAAACTCACAAGCTAAGCTTAAGTTTGCTTAGCTCAAGCTTGTTGAACAAATGCACCTAGTTCCAAACTTAACCACGTGACAGCATGAACTGAGCTGAAGCACATGGGCTAGGCTTATTTGCTGCCCTAGAACTAGCATTACTTGTTGCATCAAATGAAGTCTGAAATGCATGAGAGCAGCCTTTAGCAGACCTCTCATTTTGGCTGGAACTTTTTTGATGCATAACAATTTAGGAAAACTCTTTCTGTGTGAGAAAATGTTATTAATGATAAACAGTTATATGAGGAAAGAACGATATAAAAAGATCAAAGTAATAATTTTTCAATGATGCATGTTCCATCTTTATACAGGCCGCAGGAGGTAGTTATATTCATTGTTGGTGGAACAACTTATGAGGAGTCACGGTCTGTTGCTCAGCAAAACGCTAGCAATTTGGGAATTCGTTTTATACTTGGTGGGACAGCAGTTCTCAACTCTAAGAGGTAGGCTTTGGTTACTCTCTAATTCTTATACATGTATGCATATCGATATACTAAAACTTGTTGCCTAGTGTTCTGTACATAGTCCTTGTTTTACAGGATGAATATTGAAAATAAAAAACAGATTTATGGAGCCTGTACCAAGTAATTGGTTTCTGATTTCAATGATATAATACTAGAAATTCCTACTTCATTTCATTGATATGTGCTAAATTAATTATACGAAAATGCTTTATAAATAGATTAGATGTTGGTTTAATGATTGCTGAACGTTGCCTACCAGGCTCTTGTTAAATTATTTTTTTGGCTTAAAATTCAGGTTTCTAAGGGACTTAGAAGAAGCTCAGAGGATAGCTCGAATCAGCACTAGTGTTGTATAAGTTCAAATTCAGGCGTATGCGGCTTGAAAACCATGTAAATATGCATTTATTGGTTCATAAAAGGATTTTCGGTTTAGATGATTGGAAGGGAAACGGTTTTGCCTGGAATTGCAACGGCATTATGACAAGGAGACCATGAAAATCAGGTCATTGTTGTCATAGACTCAGATGAGATGGTTTGACGTTCACCATTTTGCCCAATGCAGAAGGAAAATGGCTAAAAGACGTTGAATTCTTATGGGGGGAATTTTGGTCTTGCATCGCCCGTTTCTTCTATGTTTGTACCCTCACCAACGAATAGATAAAATTTTGCAATTTTGTATACGGAAAATTTTGCTTTACTTTTTTCTTTTTTTAATTGTGTACCGCATTGATGTATTCAGCCTTCAACCCTGTATTTTTATTATCATATGATTCTAAAAAAAAAAAAAGTAACTTTGGAGTCTCCTTTTTGTCCTATATTTTTCACATTTGGGGCTTAAAGATTAGTTGCCGCAACACTTGACACACGATAAATTCTAAAAACATTATAAAAAAAAATCAATTTAAATAGTTCAAATACGAGTTGTTAAAATTTTATTTTTGAAATTTATACTATTATTCGTGTATAACATCGTTGTTTTTATTTCTATCATTTTGAATAAGATATGAATAAATCTTGTTATATTGAATTGTTCTTTTAATTAATAAATATTAAAATATTATTTATGATTATTTGTTAAATTTAATAAACGAATATAAATAAAGTATTATTATTATTATTTTTATTGATAATATATAGAATTTATATATTGATATTGTATTAAAAATATATTTTTTATGTTTTTTATATTTTGTATTATTTTCACAAAATACCTTTTTTTTTTTCAAAAAAAAAATTCGAGAATTTTGTTTTTGAATGGAACTTTAATAATTTATATTTGGTGTTAGTTTGTTTCAATAGATTATTTCTTATGCATGACTGAATAAAAATTGTCCAAAACAAAAATAGAAGCTATACCAAAGAAAAAGAAGCATTTTTATAGAAATTATTTTTCTCTTATTTTATTCCAAACGCAGTAAGTACAAATAATAGAAATGCCTTCCTGCACTAGATAAACATAATTGGTGGAGGAGGAGGTGCTGGATCTGATGTACGCCCACTAGGCCCAGAAGGAGGAATGGGCACGCCTTTAGGCAACATCCCAAAGTGCAAATGTGGAGGCGGCGGCGAACCTGCTGTGATTGGGCTAGGTCCCGACGGAGGAATAGGTGTGTTCTTGGGCAGCATCCCAAAATTCAAGGTGCTGACTTTGAGTACCGATCTTGCATGGGCCGAAGGAGAGACATGGCCTAAAACTAATGCAAGCACAAACAAGGTGGAACACCATAACCTGCTTTCCATTATGATTTAGTGCTATGACTTTTTAGAAATTTTTTTTTTTTTATAGGAGTGCTATAATACCATTTTGTTGTTTTATATAGAAGTAATGAATTTATTGATTAAGATCAATATGGCAAGTAAATCTTTGCGATTTTGGTTTCCTAAGTTTGTGTCACTGTATTATTGCATTTAATTGATTTTAGATTCTCAATTAAAGAATTTCATGATCGCCTAATTTGTTGCCTTTTTTAATTTTTGCTTTTGGTTCATAGTGTTGACTAGGAAAATCTTTTTTACATCTCTCCCTCTCTTTGTAAATTTTGAATAATACAATTTCTTTTATTCACATTTTGTAGCATAAAAAAAAAAAAAAGTCACACGAGAAATATAAATTATAAGCATGAAATACAAAAGAAGTGGTGTTCTAGAGCATGCTATTTTGTTTAGTTATTTTTGTGTGTGATGATACTAATGGGATTGATTTCAATTAGCATAAATAAATAACAATTCGATGTTTACTCGACTTAAAAATCAAAACCCTATCCTACGAGTAGACGAAAGTAAAAAGGAAGTTATATAGTGAGTCCAAATGGAATCAAAAACCATAAATAACACGATCGAGAAATATCAAAACAATATTAGCTAATTTGATCGACTATAGGAACAAGATAATTACTGAAATTAACAACTTGATTGTAAAACGGATGGAATATATGATCAAGGGAAGGGAACCAATTAGCAACGTGAAGATGATTATATTCTCCTGTAAAAAGCTATAACAGCTTTTTTCTTAATCTTTTCAATTTAGAGTCGAGAAAATAGACAAAAAAAAAATCTAACAGATTCTTCTATTTTCTCTTTTCGGAGAGTCTCAAATTGAATAACTGAGATTAAACGTTTCGGCACAAATTATACATGCACAATGTTATAAACTTTTTTGCCCTTCTCCATCAAGTTTATATTTATTATAATAAAATAGTATGATCCAGCAGTTCAGCTGTTAATCCTGGTCACTGAAACCTATCACCGAACCCTTGAGTTGAGGCCTTGAGGCCTTGAGGCTTCAGCCCACGACCATCCCAAAACCGAAATCCATAGGTCCAAAAGAAGGCCATAAACGGGAAATAAAAAGCATCGGGGTTAATATTGTGATGACAAGAAAAATAAAAGTTGCGATTAGGTTAGGGTTTAGAGCTTCTTCCGTTTATAAAATGCCAAAACCAGACCTGGTGTGTTCGTCCACCTTCGTTCTCATTTGATGGCATAGCTCAGCGTAGCCTGCATATTTTTCTTGGTCTTCTTATTGCTTTAGTTTCTGTTTTTATTTTTTAATTTAATTATATATATTTATATATATAGAAGTTAATAATGTAGATTTTGAAGGTATTTTAAATTTTGGGCAATGATGAGGAATTAGAGAAAGTCATGCACCACTCTGATTCTAATGTGCTGATAATTTCTCTTTACCCATATTGTTTCTGAGCTCCTTCCTCTCCTTTTTCTTAAAAAAAAAATTATAGTAATTGTTTTTCTAGTATTTGATTTATCTTCAGTCAACCCTTTTTCGCCCTTCAGTTTTTGAATTGAGAATATTAAACCAAAAAAAAAAAAAAGAAAAATAGGAACCAAAGTCATGTGGTCTTCTTTAAAGGAACCATGATGCGGACCGGACAGCTTTTTCAGCATCTGGGGTTAAATTTTGGTCTGTGATGGTTCTTCTCTTTTAGAATTTTCCTTTCTTCCTTTTCTTTTCAATAGTTTTCGGGTTGATCTAATTCTTCTTGTTTTTGGAAAATTCTACCCGGCTTCTCAGAACTGTTATTTCCCTTGAAATGCCATTCAAAAGAAATAAAATATTGGACCCCAACCTATGGATGTTTAGAGATCAAATAAATATCAAATAAACAGGATGGAATATTTGATATCAAATAGTGGGTTTTGTGGATATATATACTTGCAAAATATGCATAAAGTTTAATCACGGCAAGGGATTTTTTATCGGAAGACACGATGAAGGGAAGAATCCACGGAACCAAACGAGTTTTCAAGAAATAGATTTTAGACCATGTCATCTTCACCTCCAATTAATTAGTGATTTGATTTTCTTTCTCGGAGAAATAACTGTACTTATAATTGAGAACTGCTTAAACTTTCGGGCCAAAGGGAAAGTAATTTAAAAGAAAATTGATATTAAAATAAAAAATGAGTGATTTTTAAATATTTGTTGATTTAAAGAATATAAGAATTTGTATTTAATTTGAGAGAATGTAAGATTATTTAATAAAATTATTTATTATATTATCTTTGATAATATGTAAATAATATATAATATTTATAATATTAATATGTAAATAATATGTTATTGTTGGTATGTAGAGAAAACTCATTTATCCTCGTGTTAATGGTTGAAAGGAGATGATAAATCCTTTCTCAACAGGAATCAATTTTATATGTAATGATTTTTAGTAAATGTATTTTAAATTTTATATATAATAGTATAATTTTTTATGTTTTTAACAAAAATTATGTTTTATTTTAAAAATGTTTTTTCAATAAAAATTGTATTTTTTATCTTAAAAACGTCATTTTTATTAAATTTTGAAAAATATTTTCAATATAGATTACATTTTTATTTTAAAAATATTATCTTTAATGAATTTTTAAAATATATTTTTTCATATTTTTAATAAAAACTATTTTTTTATCTTAATAACATCGTTTTTTTAACAAAAATTGTGTTTTTTATTTTAGAAACGCTATTTTTATTGAATTCTGAAAAATATTTTTTCATATTTTTGATAAAATACTATATTTTTTATTTTAGAAATATTATCTTTGTTGAATTATAAAAAATATTTTTTTTCATTTTTTTAACAAAAACTATGTTTTTTATATCTTAAAAATATTATTAGTTCTAGGTGATCAATTACTAAAGTTTATACGTTAAAAATATAGTACTTCTGAAACTATAAAAAAAATTCAAAATCCTAATTGTCAGGTATCCAATTGTGTGGTTAGGAATACAATTTTGCCTAATCATGCAGCTAGTAGTGTTGTGTTTGGATTTGTCATGTAATTTGTTGATTTTCAAAAGTAAAATAGATCGTTAAAAATTATTATTGAGATTAAAAGTAGGACATAATTTACTTTCCTCCAGGAATCTTAAAAAACTTCAAAGAGATGTGAGTTTCTAATTCCAAACTATTTGAATTCTATTGGAAATCTTAGAATACCCCTAGAAATCAGATACCATGAACCAAATTAAGAAATCAGATTACGAAAAGCAAAATTCCAAAAGATAATCTAATTTTCTCTCGAACCAACAGTCCCTTTAATGTTTTGATTTTCTTTCTTGGTGAAATAACTCCACTTGATTCGTAAAGAATAAGGATAGGGCATGAGATAGGTAGTAGAGTATTTTTTATCATTATTTTGGTTTTTTATATTATATTTATTTTTTTAATAAAATGGATATTTTAAATTAATTTTTATTTTCGTAAATATTTAATGAGTATAAATAATTTTTGCACTCTAGTTTTTTAAAAATAAAAAATAAAAAATATTTTTTAGTTATTTATTTTTATTTTGTATATTTAAGTTGTCATAACGTCTAGATCTAGAGATCTATCGCTAGACATTGACTTAAGGAGTCGCCACCAATCTTTTTTATTTAGGTACGATTGGTCACCTAAGAAATCTATCCTTTTGGGGAAACACCTAAGTTTAAGGGTCCCTAAAAAAATAAGTTCGGGTCTACTAACTAGAATAGGGTTCGGGAGTTCGGTTATGTGTAAGGAAGGTTATAGCACGCTCACAACGTTCATCAAAAGATGGTACCAGCTTAATTTTGTGTTATCCGATAAGCCTTAAAAATTTACCAAGTAATTAATTATTGAAAATTATTCTCAATTAACTCTAATACTTTTAGCAGAAAATTGAAAAAATCCCCTCACCTCAAGAGTATGCAAGAAAACTACTGTTTCACTTGCAGAGGCTTTATCGTCAAATTATTTAACATTAAAGAAAATAAAAAGAAAGAAGAAAAAAATGACTGCTTTTGTGCAGGAAAAATTGGTACTTTCAACTTTTTCTCAAAAATTTTTTGAAACTTTAATTTCGAGAAAAATTGATACTTTCAACTTTTTCTCAAAAAT